TTAGGAAGTATTAAGGGTTTAGTATCTCTTCTTTTCTCTTTAAAAAAAATTTTCTTCTGCTGGAAATAGGTTGCTAAGGTCAAAATATAGACCAGGGGTTCTAAATTTGAGATTCATAAATGGATTTCCTGAAGCCAGTGGAACCGTATGCAAAATATATATGTGTCCATTTTTTTCCAGAGTGAAGGTTCATAGCGCTCATCAGATTCTGAGCAGAGTCTATGATAATAGCAAAGGGTCCATAAACCCTTTTGATTCATGTGATTTAGGCAGATGCTATTTCCTTGTTGTCTCTCACAGCACCATTTTGTTACCTCTCTGCCAGACTCCTTTCTCTGGTAGCAGATGTGGGAGGAAATTATGCATTTATTTTGTTAGGTTTGAAATAAACTTCATTCTGACATAAAAATCTACCTATATTTACCTCCCAAAGTAGATTTTTATTTATGAACTGTAGGCCTTAATAATTCACCTCTGTTTCAGAACTTCAGAATTGAATTGATTCTAGTTTTTCATATCTTGAACATTCCTGAGATTTGTTGATTACCTTTTTGAAAGGTCTTCCTATGATTTCCTCCTCAACACCCATCTTCTACTGAGTTATTACAGCATTTTTTTTCCAGAATCAAGTCCCATTTTGTGTACCTTTCAACACATTGATCTTTCTAAAATACTTTAATCTGTATATTTTATTGGATCCTCATTTTCTGCAAAACCATTTATACCCTATCTGATTTTTGGGACCCTAACACAAATAACAGAAAAAGGACATTTATATTTCCCTCTTTATTATATATTCCTTCTACATTATCTGCTTTTAGTTATATCAGCTACTTTTAGTTTTTCAGAACTACTTTACTTATTCCTACCTTAGTACAGTTAGCTATTTTAAAAATTTTGTTTTTTATCAGTGTTCCCTATGACAGGTACCATACTGGGTCCTTATTTGTGCCCTTCTCTGCCTAAAATGTCTTCTTTACTCCTCCCCGTTTATATCAGTCCAAATTCTGTCTGTCTTTCAATGCCTAGCTTAAATGTTATTTTTTTCTTTGAAGCCTCTCTGTATTTCCCAAACTGAAAATAGTCTTTCTTCCTTCCTTTGAGCATTCACAGCTCTTTAACTGTACCTCTTAGGTTATTTAACTCTGTATATTATGTTAGATATTTAAGTATTTGACATTAGCCTCTTGAGAACAGGGGCATTATCTTGCTAGTATATAAAGATTAATGTAAGGTCCTCGTTGTCTACTTCATATCTAACATTGGTTGCAAAACTACCTGAAGTTGCGGAGTGTATAAACAATTACGTATGTAAATGAAGATGTTAGTAGCATGCCAGAAAAATCTCTGGGAATAGGAGCAACCTTTGGATGTATAGATTATTGTCTCTTTTACCAAATGGAAATTATTCATATGTTAGTATAAGTTGGGTAGTCCCTGGAACTTTTTTTTTTAAATGAGAGAAATTAGAAGTGGAGAGTATTCTCCTAGGAATAATTTGTTTATAGGAATTAATTGTTCTTTAACTGGTGCTTAGCCAACTACGAAAGTTCCTGTGGCCTTGACAAAGTCAGCCAAAGCTGTTATTGCTGTGGTGATTGTGAAATCCTTCATCGCCCAGCAGCATGGGGCATGGGGTCCTCAGTTCTTCCCCACCACACAATAAAGAATTACAGATCAGCGAGATTTAGAAGTAAGATTTATTGACAGTACATTTTGAAAGAGACGGGACAAACTAATGAAGGCTGCATCCCTGGGGAATTTGGGAGGTGAAAAGATAAAAGACAGAGAACACTCCAAGGGAAGAGTGGATTTTCAGCAAAGAAAGCTGCAACAGTGCAGAAGTGGGCAGGTCTATATTAATTAGGGCTGTGATGGGTGATTACAAAGGCATTCCTAGGTGAATGGCACATGAGGGCATTTTGATCGACATTTGGCTGTTATATAACACCCTACCTACTGTGCATGTGGTTGGTTACCTAGAATTCAGTCTATTATAAGTAGAATCATGAACTTCCAGGCATAGGCATGGTATTATAATGATGGTGTAATGGGGCTGAGGTTATAGGCAGGTTAGGGTAGTACTTTCTGCTCAAGCGTTTGTGGCTGATTAAGCCAGCAGCTTTTATGGCCTTTGTGCCCTAGGATTTGGGTTAATTTATAACCCTAAAGGGGCTGGTGTTTCTGGGAGGTCCTTAAGGAAGGTCTTCAAAGGAGGTGTCTATGGTTACAGAGCTGGATCTTCGCTCCCATTGCTCATGTCTGTCTAACTACCTACCATTTCCCCGCCAAGTATTAGGGACCAAAATTGTTGGGATTTGGGGTAATAATTGCTGTAGCTACTTCAGGCCGAGAAGAGGCGAAGTTGGAGGATTGGGTCCCCTATACTTGCTCTCTGTCAACTGGAGGCAAAGGTTGTCAATGCCCATCTAAGGGTCCTCAGTATAGTATAAGATCTGTTGACTGGATTGGGTGATATCTCCCTTGAAGGACCATTTGGAGATGAATTGCTTGGACTCTGGAAGAAATAAATTGAACGAGGCAATTTAGAAGTGATGGTCCTAGGAGAAGGAGAATAAAAAGTAAGATTAGGAGAAAAACAAGCACCAGGAGAAGGGATTGTATAGATGTGGAAACTTGGCCTGGTCAGTTGATATAGAAACAGCAATTTTCTTTGAGATAAACACATGTTCCCCCTTGTCCTACTGTCAAAATCCAACAAGACTCTTCAATTTTGAAGTACTACACCTGCTAAGGAATCCAATTGTAGCCATATTTAGATTCTGAAAAGGAGAACTTTTCAGATAACATACCCTAAAGCCTTATTACTTTTCAGAAGCATAAATGAGAGAGAGAGAGAGTGAGGGAGAAAAAAGAATCTGAGAATTTTTGTTAGAATAAAGAGCAGAGGATTTGAATCCTCATATTGCTAGTTAGTAGTTGTATTACCTTGGACAAGTTACTAAATCTGTTTTTTATCTGTGAATTCAGCAGAAAAATAACTCAAAAGTTTCGTGAGGATTAAATGGAATCATGCCTGTAAATTACTTGGAACAGTGACTCACTATTGTGTACAGTACATGTTAGGTACTATTACTATGATGATGTCCTAGGTCCAGACATCAAAAATCTATTCACATACTACACCCTTAAAATCCATTATAACATGTTTGGTATGCCATGGTGTGGTTGTTAAGCTTGAAATTATATGCGTAGGTGGATTTGTAAGTGACTGATGAGTAGGTAGGATTAAAAATTCAGCTTTTAGTTTTCCAGTAGGAATTCAAGTGCAATCAGCAAACGAAAAATACAGGTTTAGGCTGAAATTGTAGTTTACTTCCACAGAGGCAGTTTTTCTACCAGAACATAGGATTACTCATTTCCTGAGCAACTACCAAATGCCAGATGTATTAGATTTTTTAAAAAATGTTACTTAATTCAGTCACTACAACCCAAGGCAGAAGGAGTTTAAATAATTTGAATTTGTCCAAGCTCATACTGTGTTAGAAATTTGCAGGGAATTTTTGGGAAATAGTAGAAACTGTGAGGAATTTGAACTCTTCTCTCGTTCCAAATCATATACTCTACCTTTGTATTCCTAGCACCTCTCTCTCTCTCTCAACTTTAATTAGTGCGTGGGCCATACCTCAGACCATTTAAATCAATTTTAGAAGTGAGATCCATGCATCAGTATTTTTAAAAGTTCCCCAGGTGATTTTATTGTTACATGGATTTTGAACTACTGACCTCAATTCTTAGAAGAGGGTAGATAATCAATAAATGTTTGACTATTGAAAGAATACATACCTGACTGTCCAGCTACTCTATTGTAATTCTTTTCAGTATTATAGTCAACCTAGAATGCTTTTGTATTAACTTAAGTCTTTAAAGGGGTCCTTGTATTATACTTTGTACGTTCAGCCCCATGGTGTATACAAGAAGATGTCTGGCAGGAGGTAGTGTTTTGCTGCTCATAAAATTCTGAATTACCTCCATTACTGGGAAGAATAGGTGTGGAAATAGGGGAAGACTTGGGGTTTCTTTCTTATGTCCCATCCAGAGTTGAAGACATAGGTTGTAAATAGACATTTATTTGTTATTTTTGTTTTAAAATAATTTTATTTTTTAAAAAACACCTGGTTAAAAAACACCTGGTTCAAAAATCAAAAGATAGAAAGGGATATGTATTAAAAATTGCCCCTCTTATCTGCCAGAGAAATTCTAAACATGTGTAAACAATTATATTTATACATATTTCCTATTTTTATCCAAATGGTAGTATGTGCATCATGTTTGTTTGTTTGCTTAACAGTGTTATATTATCCATGTGTAAAGAATTTTATCATATTATAAATGTTTCCTTTTTCCTACAGCTAAATATTATTTCTCTATGTACCATTCACCTGTTGATGGGTATTTAGGTTGTTTCCAACTTTTCTGTATTACAAATGATGCTACATTGAATAGAGAAGTCATTTTACTTCTGTGTGAGCATAGACTTGCATAAATTTTTAGAAATTCAAGGTATTGGTATTGGCAGTTTGCCTTCTATAAAGGTTGTGTGTATATTGGTTGGGAAATGACAAGCATGAAGTAATGTAAGGGATTAAAGGTATGAAGAGATAATAATGACCAAAAAAGATTGTAG